TCGACTACCGCTTCTGTCTCGACGGTATCAAAGGCTCTCGTCAAACCGATGAGCGTCAGGCAGACGAGTGCTACAGAGCGGAGGACATCAGTGATCATCTTCCGCCTCTTGGGTGCGGCTGCGTATCGGTTTTAGTTATGTGCCTTATATTTCTCCAGCATGGGAGCGCAGCATAGTTTGCGCGCCAAGGCACCACAGTGGCTGCTTTCACCAGCCAGTGCCCCCTAGTTCCCCACCACCTGGCCCCTTGCCTGAAGCCCCGTTTCCATGCGTCGTGTATCTGGCGGGTGGGAATTTGTGCATTCAAATAAGGGTATCCGTAAAATCAAATATATTGTCTACAGAAATTCTGCAGGATCCCGAGGATGCTCTCTGATGCCTTCCGCTCTGTAGGCATAACGGCATCTTATATTCTCGCGAGACTTCAGTAAGCCTCTTAACAGTGTGGATGTGATCGATTGCACTGAACCCTCCCAGTAACCCTGCTTGCTCGCATGGCTGTCCTTCATCCAATATTCTGCCGATCCTGCTCAGGATGACGCGAATGGAGAGTTCGTGATTTTGGGGAACAGGCAGACCAACAACTTAATCTCTTTAGGGTTCCACTTGTAGGTTCTTTGAATTCCTGCGTATAAGGAGCGGAGCTACAGTTTTGACGATAAATAGCGAAAGGTTTTTGAAATGTTCTAGTTTAATTACGTCAGAAAATAAGTTTCCATCCACGTGATGGCACGTCAGGAAGAACTAAAGGAGCGACCAATCCGTCTCGACCAAATGGTGAATGAGAGCAGGACATGCTTACTGGACAGACCAGAGTAGAAGTCGTGGCTAATTTTTTTCCATTGCCATTCGTAATGCAGGGACTGTTTCGTAGAGACGACGAAGGGAAGGCATCTTGGTCTTGTAATTGGCGAAGCTCCGACAGGCTTTGCGAGGTCGGGAAAGAATGCCCTTCCCGACCACGACGGATTCGGTCATAACTGCTGCTGAGGGGAGGGGTACTATTTGTTTTCTGAACTCGTCGTCTTCCTAACACTATCATGAAGATGTTCGACAAACTAGTTGTAGTGATCAACGATGATGACGGAATGCTCCCACAAACTGGCACGGACTCAACTTGCTTACTTGAGCGTACTGTAAAACGAAGTTTCACGAGTACGCGAGTGGAGTTCTGATTTCAATCAAAAAACAAAGATCAGGGACAATGGTTACACCTACTCCAGGTTAACGAATATAAGGTCGGCCGGAGCTAATGTGGTTTCATGATGACTGGTCAAAAGTACACCAGGGCATATTGATGATCAACGAGACCACAGGTGCAACAGATGGTGCACTACAATAGGCTACACAAAAACTCTCTATAGAGCAGCTTAGAAACCTGATAATGAATAGATTAAGACGATAACAAAACAGTCAAAGTGATCGTTGGAGCCATTCCCTTTAAATAAAGGGATTAGAGATAAGCGGTCATTGAATGATCAGGGTCCAAAGGAAATTTGAAATGTTTAGTACGGCAATAGGGCATTCTCTTTCTGAGAAGGTCGGAGCCGTTCCAAGAAATGACTGGTAATGTGAGAGTGAAAATTCTTACGCAACTTGGGTCTCCTACATAGCCAACGTTGCCTCATTTACAAATGGGTAACGTAAGTAGTAGGGCTCTTCGAAAAAAATCAACAGCCATCTACAGAGCGTTAAGATTTTTCAAAAAAGGTACCTTTTTCACTCCTGTTCCGAAAGGTGAAGTCAACCATACGGGTCGTAATATTACCATGAACTTCCTTTACTGCCTTCGTACCCCAACCCGTACTTGACGACAAGTCAAAAGAAACTTTTAAGAGCTCCAGGGATGAAGAGAAGTGTGGGAAAGGGCTGTACCAACGATTCTTCTTTGAACCAGCAGAACATAGCTATTAAAGACACGAGTCAGATACCAAAATTTGAGGTCCCAATTAACTGCTGATATAAGTTTTGTGAGGTAGCAGGACATAGTCTTGAAGAGCTCCGGGTCTCGGACTCATTTAGAGAAGCGAGTTGAATGCTACGGGAAATGTGACACTGAGAATGAAGGCTCTGTGTAGTCTCTTCACAGGAGGAGATACATATGTACGTATTATATTGATAATAGAAAGCGATAATAGGTAAAGAAGCATATGAATTTGCTGTAATGAATCGAATGTAACACACAATGACTCCGCGGCTATTCAGTAGACATGTCTGTCGACCATTTCGAAAACCGGATTTCAAAAGGAATATTCTCGATCTCTGAAAGATAATCGGTGTATATGTGAGTCGCATACCGGAATTTGCGCTAATGAGAGAACTCCTACCGTTTTCAGAGATTTTCGACAATTCTGAGAAACATTTCCCTGCATCTTGGTCTTAGTTATACACAAATGATTGCTGCGTGTTCGATCATTTTACATCCCATGAGAAATATTGTGTACTCTGGTAGCGTTGACTAATTTCGCTTAAATCATAAATACATAAATAATAAATCTTAAATCTAATCACCGTTCACGATAATTTTGAAATACCTCCTTTCAGTCGAAAAGCGGAAGTTTAAGTCGGGAATAGTTCATCGGTATAGAAAAAAGCAAGTAAATTGGCCGTTTTCCAGGAAAATATGGCTCCTCAAAAGTAGGGGAAATAGAGTTTGGACGAGATTGCCATGACTGAAATAACATGGAAGACGTATTCGGACGAGATTCCGGTTACGGCAATTACGCAAAAATCTGACTACATCAAGCCAGAACTGTACAGAACTGTCTTTCACTATCGCTGTGGGTCATGACAAATTGTTAGAACTTCCTACATGTAATCGGTGTAGCCCCTACATTGCATGTGAAACTCGTCCGAGAATACACACGGCCCAATCTTGGAGCCTTTATAACGCCCTGACTAGGCCGTTTTCCGGCCTGATAGTGCCAGGTATGGTGTACGGGGGGACCCCGAGTTCATCCTACGGGGAAATCTCAGAAAGTTTTTTTTTTCGTGAACTATGCCCTTAAGGAAAACACCTCTCATATGAATATCATTCAGAAAAGTGGTGGCGGATGAATGTGTGTGTGTGATCTATACAGTGGCTGACGGATGCCGGTTTTCTTACAAAACAGTTCTTTCATCCTCTTATCAAGTTTGGCACCCGTTAACCGTTCTCCCAAGGATGAAAAACTCCGTCAGCCTGTGGGTGGGTCTCAGTACAAAGTTTGTTCCCCAGCCTGTGCGCCATTTGCCACTACTAACCTCTGCTTTTTCTCCTTTCTCTTTGATCATTTTTTCTTGCACTGCCTACAATTTTTTCTTTCCGAGGGATTTCTTTTTTTTAAGTAGTTATTGTTCATTGAGCTTTAATTAATAATAGTAAATAACGTCATTACAATCTCTGCTTCGAAACTGATAGGTAAAACTAATGTGGCTTTAATGGAACTTTCCAGCAGTCGTATCAAGCAATAACAAGCAAATCAGAGCGGACGCCTCAAAAACGGAATCAGAAAGACAACCTTCATCAAAAGTATGAAGAATCTCCTAATTCATAGAATTCGAATGAAATGAATTGAAAGTATGAATTCTCTCACGCCACAAGACCCGGTTCCGATGGGGTCCTCTCGAAGACGCCTATCTACCAAACCATTTGAATCAAAGAATAAAGTTTTTGTAACAAATCAGGCCCGCTCGGAGTACGCCCCTAATCGACTTCTATTCATATTCGTAGTTGCCAATTGTATGCGTATTTAGCCTATACAACAACTTGCGGTGGCCAACCGATGTACATGCCAATCTATTTGGATTGAAAAAAATAGTTGGCAGTAATCTTCTTTGAAGACGTCAGGAGTTATGGGCAGTAGCCTGAAATCCTGGACACGGATACACAAGGATTACTCTAGGAGAACCGAAAAGCTTGTCAGCCAAGAGCAGCGAGTTCCACGGAGCGAAAAATGAGAAGAGCTTAATCTTCTGACCCCGAGAAAGGTGCTCAGAAGTTTGTTATGAATCCTATCGGACATCAGCAGACTACTTCTAATCATTGTGCTGACCACTGAAGTGGATCTTAGCAGATGATGCTTCTCATCTCAGAAAGGAACCTATGGAGATTGGGCGTATGATTCTTTTTTCTCCATCAAAGAGTTCCACGGAAATTTGATTGAAGGATCACTACCATTGATCCCACAGCATACCAGTGAACCAGCCGAATACGTTGTAAACTTGAAAGCCCCGAGTATCTGACACATCTGTCCCCTGAAGCTATTCTTTACGATATGTTACGTCACTATAAACGCCTATGCGATCGCCTGCTGATAGCTGTCGGAAAGGCATTAGTTTTGTCTTAGGCAGTGGGAAACTAGTATGAAACGAAAAACTGGATAGTAGCCACTTTGCATTCATTACGCCGATAGCTTCATCGAATCGCTATATAAGCCTATGCCCAAATAAAACGGTGCCGTTCATCAGCTGTGAATCTTTCTCGTTGTCATTCGACATAGTTATGTGTATTGCTGTAGATTGCTGTAGTATGAGACAACCCACAAGGGCAAAATGGGATTTTTGGAATATGAGGAGTGATTTGGGAGCGATTCTAGGGGTGATTGGCAGCATCATACTCCCAATCTCTACGACCCTGATAATTCTGATTGATTTTTTAGACTCCTCTTGTTTATCCATCCATCTATCAACGGAAATACATTCCCTCTCTTTTATGAATAGAGCTGACATAAGCAGTAGCTACTGTCTTTGAACTCCTCTTTACCTCATTCGGTTGGCGTCAAAATGACCCAACCCCGTCGTGAAATTGACTCTCGTTGATGAACAGTACAACTCCATTTTGCTCACGAGCACAGCGAGTTTAATGCAAAACTTCTCCTGAACGAACTCAAAGCCTTACTTACGCTTCCGTCCGCCACCCCTTTCGAGGCAACCGCTCAGATTTTTTTTCTCCATTTTTTGTAGGACATATATTAAAAATAAGTTAATTAATATTCACGACAGATTCCAGGTTGGTGAAAATGGATGTGACAAGGTCGTCCAGTTACATCGCGATAGGGCTGTCCAGTATTGTTATAATCTCCACTCTGTCATATATACCTTATATGCTGAACAGAATCGACAATGTATTGGACTCGATGAAGGTGGGAATTGTCTTTCACTTTTTTGACAAAGCAACCACCCATCCAATAAAGTCTGACAGTTACCAGGTCATTATAATTTGTTTATTTTTGGAAAACATACTAAGGTCGAAGTAGTGTATTGGTAGTTGGAGCACTATAACACGAGCATGTGGCGAGGGATCGAATCTAGGATTAGCATCCCTCCTCTTCCCCACAGACCGACCAAGCTTTGTGGCTGATTCGGGCAATCCGTCTAGGAGGATAAAACTACACGTACTTGTACATGGAATTGTCACCATACTTCATCTATAGCCATAGGAGGATTCAAAACACCATTAGGAGCCAAATGGAAGTCGATTGCAGGGAACATATCACAAGAAGATTGATCAATGCCAAAAGGTTCACTTTTTCCCCCTGAAAACTTTGTACCCATGGCTTATGCATTGAGCTTCCATTATGTAGCGATATGAGACCCTACCTTAAGAAAAATAGAAAGAGATCTGAAGGAATACAGCCAAGTTCCAGATCCATAACGACGAATTCCAAGAGGTGGAGACAGCTGTTCGCATGGAGTTCAAAAAAATATATGCAAGCGGAGTGATTCTGCGTGAACGACGTCAAGCAAAAGAGGGCGTGTGTTGTGAGTCCTTAACTCTCTCATACCGATGCATGTCAGAAATGGTATAGTAGCTGGATCTGTGAAATCGAATCTTTTCGAACCGTTCGAACTTGATTTCATTTTTGGGTTGGTTGGCTGGAAGTAGGTTCATATAGAGTGAAAATAGCCTGTCTGTTAACAAAGTTATTCATTTTCCAGTGTGTGAATCAGGAAACGCTTGTCCGTCTGGTGCCAAAGGTATGCCTGGCCTACCTGGATTAGATGGGGAACATGGTATATTTTTTTCAAAACCATCATGCTCATGTAACCTTTCCTGTCCATTCACACCTTCTACTTCCATGTTCAGGTAAACCCGGAACTCCCGGAGAACCCGGTCCAGTTGGAATCGCTCTAGATCAAATCAAAATAGAGTTTAAAGGTAATTGCCGACAGTGTCCACCAGGCCCACAAGGTCAGAGAGGATATATGGGTCCTACCGGAGAGCCTGGACCAATGGTAAGACCTCAACATAGGATTTTTAAGTGTAGCCAATTGATGGTCCGTTTATCTGACGCAACGATTTCAGGGCGCTGAAGGCATGCCGGGTATGCCAGGCCGTCCAGGAAGTCCAGGAACGCAAGGAATGCCAGGAGAAAACGGAACACCAGGAAAGAATGGAAATCTGGGAGAACCTGGGCCACCTGGAAACGATGGCGTTAGGGGGGAGAAGGGTCCAGTTGGGGAAAAAGGGCCAACAGGAGAAGGCGGACCCAAAGGACCACCAGGCTATTCTGGCAGAGATGGCGGTCCTGGACCGATGGGACCACCAGGGGAGCCTGGCCCAGCAGGACAGCCTGGAAATCCTGGCTTCCCCGGTTTAGTAGGAGCAGGTGCTAATGAGGTAAAAGATTACATTCGCTCTATTTTACCATGACACTGTTTTGCTCCGTTTTTAGGGTGGACCTGGAGAAGATGCGAGCTACTGTAAATGTCCAGCACGGAAACGCGTTGTCTCGGCCCTGAAAACCAAGGCTACAGCTGCTTAGTGAAATCCCAGTTGTTTACTAAGCAATAAACTTTACAGCAACTTGTTTGTAAATGATTGCTCTCCTATAGAGCTTATTTTCCTTGACATTGGTACATAAAGGAGCATAGTAAGGCTCAAGAGATTTTCTTCCATTAGAACGAGCGGTGGTCCGCAATCGCAGGCACATAGGACGTACGTGGCTGTGACTAGTTTTTCCAAGAGTCGCTGAACATAACTCTTCAAAGTTTACGAATAGAAGCAATGATATCTCCTTCGAAACTGAAGAACTCTTGAATGCTTATTTTGCTAACTGCATTCTACTACTCATACATTACAGGGATGTGGTCCCGAAGTTACAAGTTAAACATAAAATTCAGTTCAAAAATTTTAAACATTTTACTATAGCGAACACAGCAAGGTCTATGTTGGAAAAGTGTCACTGGTAGCTCTGACATCTGGAGTAAGCTGAAATATTGCCCTCAGATGAATAAAGGCACAGTTCATGATAATTTTGAGGTACCCGTTTCAATTCGAAAAGCGGAAGTATAGAGTATATGGCAGTATATGGCAACAGTTCATCGGTAGTGAAGAAAGCGAGAGAATCCACCGATTTCGAGAAGATGTGGCTCCTCAAAAGTAGGGAAAATAGAGGTTGGACTAGATTGCCATGATGGAAATGACATGGAAGGGGTATTCGGACGAGATTTCAGTTATTGCAATTGCACAAAGAGTTGACAACAACAAGCCAGCACTGTACGGAGCTATTCTTTTGTGATTGGTGCAGCCTCTGCAATGCCGATGAAACTCTTCCGAGGATACACACGGGCCAATCTTTGAGCCTTTAAACTCTTTAACTAGGCCATTTTCCGACCTGGTAATGTCAGATATGGTATACGAGGAGGCCTCATATTCATCCTGAGGGGGGAGTCTCAGATCATTTCTATCGTGAACTGTGCCTTTGAAGGGAAGCGCGATAATAAATCATCTGAGATACAGTTCAGGAAAAAATGGTTTTGAAATTCCCAGTAAGGTGAACCAGTGGTTCCCAGAGCTAGCACGCGAGATAGTACGGATTTTATAAAGGAGTTCGACAGGGAATTACGCAAAGGCTTCAAAACAGGCTTGACTGACGTACACACCCGGAAGTGGTTGTGTTATGACGGCCTCGTCAAGGTCGCACCATTTAGAGATAAGCGTCAAAACGCCGACGAATAGTACTCTCACATGAGAGACACCCAGACGGCCAAAGACGCATGAACTCGTATAACCCTTTTTCTGACTACTTTTTTAAAACCTTATAATACATAAATCCACCTTTTCCACATTCTCTTCGCAACTTTTGCTCAACTTTGCGCCATAACCTCCACTACTTCACTTCAACTTAATACCACAGTGTTATAGTGAACAGTGCCTTCAGCTAAATCACTTTTTTGTAGTCTATTGTGCTCTGTCAAAGAGTTGTGCAAAAGAAAAAAACCGCAAACGCTTTCCCCTAAATCATGTAGAGCCCGACATTTTTGACAGCTTTGCTCACAAGTTTCATGCTGAAAATAGAATCTTGTCATAGTCGGGGAGAAAGGAGAATGGCCATTCAACTGGAACGAGGTAATTTTTCATTGAAAGTTTGTTTATTCTGTATTATCACTGATGATAGTATTTCATATAGCAATCATACAGAACTTTACAGCTCACAGCTATGGCCAATAACGCTAGGAGTGGTTCAATTTTGATGGTGGCCTCTCTTTCTTATATTATGTTTTTTCTTAATTGTCACAAATAAGTTTGCACCGAGAAATACTGCACATTGACCTATAAATTCGGCAGCTGCAAGCAATCACGTGCATGGTTGATATGGAAATTGATAAGACGAAATTGCAATAAAAACTATGACAGTGAAAGGAAAGGAAGAAAAGAGTACTTTGGTCAAAGTTATGACATGTGTTTCATTTTTTTCTCCTTTTATCATATACTGGAAACGTCAATTCAGAGATTCGGAAGCTATTATACATGCCATCAAAACCTCGAACATTACACAGCCAGTTAAGGGATTAGCGTGTCCTTTGGCCGCTTCCATTTGAGAATGGTGGAGGCACAAGTAGACAAAGCCTTTCGTAAAGTGGTCCAGACGATGTCGGTAAAGAGAACCGAATCAGGAAAGGTGACAAGATGAAGCTACTTTCTGATCTGATCTGATTTTCCATATTGGAACGGCTTACCCGAGGCTAAGTACCAACCCTGACTCTCGTAAAAAACGACTCCAACTAGGAATCATTCATTCCACATCTGACAAAATGATGACCTTTCGGCATTTCGGTCTATTTATGAAAAGCAGTTGGAAATTAATTAAAGCAATTGATATTGGACGACGGTAAACAGCTAACCCCTCATGTATTTGATTCCAGAAAGGAGGTGAGGTTGTCTAATTCTTACTGAACTGGTCTGAATGAAATTCGGGTGGCGCTTTCAGTTTTTTCACTAATCAGTATTGCAAAAGCGTTGCGTTGCAGAGTTGAAGCCTTTACGTTACCCAACGTCACGGTAGAGGCTGAATCAGCATATTTCCAGATGTCCGGAAAGTTTTGAGAAAATTCAGTTCGTTTTTTCAACAGCAACGAACTCAGATTAGTGATCAGAATAGTGACCCTTTTTGGCCACAATATCTCTTCATCAAGTGAAGAGGGCATAGGTGCCAATTCTCCAATATGAAGAGAAGCGTGACCTTCGTCTACTCGTTCGTCTATTCGTTCATCTACTAGTACAAGACATCTCAGCAGTAGGTGATTTTTTCCTTTCAGAGCAGGTCTGCGGGCTTCTGAAAGCATGGCAGTAATATGAGTTGAGGTCAGATGAAATTGTGGCGAGTGGAGTAGTCAGCTTATACCAATTCTTAAAGCTCATCCATCGACGTCCCCGCGCGGGCTGGTAGAGCACTGTTCATCACAATCGAAAATTTCTTTGTAATCGGTGCAAAATGGTGCTCGAAGCACCATCTCTCTCAGTCGGTATTGGGATACTCCTACGTTTACCGCAATACACTCTAGCAGGATCTCCCAGTGATAGATCCTCTTGAGCAGATTTAAAGCGGACTATGGCCTTACTTCCATCGGTAGGCATTGCGATTTCCTCTATGAATTTTCGTATGACATCTACTTTTTATTCTATAATCAAGCCAGTTGATGTCGTCTCTCGCTTACGGTCAAGGAGCTTCTATAACACACTGATCACACTCGAATTCCTGATCGGCCAGAGAGTGGGTGATATTTGGCAAGAGTCCTTCTTTGAAAGCGACTTCTGCGTAGAACGTCATAAATGATGGATTGGAGAGTAG